TTTTCGGCGGACACAACATCTTTGTATGTGGTGCTGAGGATCGAACCCGGGCCACACACATGCCAGGCGAGCTCGCTACCGCTTGAGCCACATCCCCAGCCCTGGTTTGGTTTTTTTGCCTGTAGTTTATTTGCTTATTTTTGTATGTGGTGCTAAGGGTTGAACCCAGTGCCTCACCCATGCTAGACAAGTGCTAAGGTTTCTACAGTTTTTCACACTTTTTTTCTTTCGACAGTACTGAGGATCGAACCCAGGGTGTTGCACATGCTAGTCAGTCTCTCTACCATTGAGTTATATCTCCAACTACAGTTTTTCTATTGGTAAAGCATCATATAACATGCTTGGTATTAGGAATTTATGACTAGTAAGACTGCTAGTTAGCAAAGAACTGTGGGAACTGCCAGATTTCCTTTATAAATGGGACATTGCTATTGAAAATATTCTAGCCATAGTAATCATGTGTTTATATAAAAATCCACTGTTTGGATGACTTTGTATTCCCCCACCCCAGACAATCCCTGGAATACATGAATTAAAGTTGGAATTATAGGTATCAAAATTGCTGATAAGGTACTAATGAGTATTATTTAAATTTAAGGCAATTTAGGGGTTGATGACTTGTTAGAGTATAATTATTTTTGTGGTGGATTTCCATTGCAGACTGGAAATAGCAGAGGCTATGCCTTTGTGGAGTTTGAGTCTGAAGATGTTGCCAAGATAGTTGCTGAAACAATGAATAACTACCTTTTTGGTGAAAGACTCTTGGTGTGTAAGTGCTCTTATCTTACCCTGGACTTCCGTGGATGCTTCTGTTGGTGCATGACTGATGTGAAAGACAGATGGCTTAGCTGCTTTGGATATGTCACTTCATCTCTGGGATGGTTCTTGTAAGGAGTGGTACAAGGATGTAAGTTTTCCAGGAAGGTTATGTTTTTTCTAGCATGAAAACAATATATACACTGAGATGGAATTGATCAAATTACTTCAGGGATGTTTGAGGGAAGCTGCTAATCTATCCTCAGTGGGTAGTGAGAAAACCTTCCTTTGGGAGGTATTATTTAAATTGAATCGTGGAGGTTAAGCAGGAGGGAACCAGGTGAAGGGGTGGGAATGATGAAGCTGCTTTGACATTCTTTATATAGTTGTAGGCATAGGTAGGTTTTTCTAGAATAGTATTTTGGGGACTCTAGCATGCAAAAAGGAGTAAATTTTACAGCACAAGCCAGAACATGTACAGATGTACATAACTAGATAAACATAACTGAAGAAAAAGTCCAGTGACATAATTCTTAAACCCCTGTTTAAGAATTGGTGTTCTCTTCAGCTAAATTGATTTTATTGCCCCAAAAGGCCACTGTGAGTTTGAAAAATATTGCTTTTACATCACGTCGTTGAGTATAGAGTGGCCATGATTGTTGTATTTGCCTTGTTCTTAGTAAAGTTGAGTATTATACTTACTGACCATGGGAATTCATCTTTTGTGAATTGTCTGTTCATATCTTTTGCCTTGGCTTAATATCTTTCACAAAAACTCTTTCCTAGCTTCCGTGTTACATTATTTTGTGAATATTTGCATACTGCAGTGTAGTCATTGTTACCCTTCGCTCTGTTCTATTTGTTTTCCTGGCTTTATATTTTGAATTCAGGTCTACAGAGAAACAGAACAGCATGAAGAACATACTGCTCTCTTGAATTCACCTTTTTTTAAATATTCTGATACATTGACTTTATCTCTCCTCATCTATATAAACATACTCACTTTTGTTTCATTGATCTATTTGACATAAACAGTCATAATACTAGAACATTAAATGGCTTTGTAAGGAGTGGTACAAGGATGTAAGTTTTCCAGGAAGGTTATAGTGGAAATTTAAAAATTTTTTCTAGCATGAGAACAATATTTTCACTGAGATGGAATTAAACAAATTGCTTCAGGGATGTTTGAGGGAAGCTGCTAATCTGTCCTCAGTGGGTAGTGAGAAAACTACGCACAATCCTCCTGTCTCAGCCTCCCAAGATGCTGGGATACAGGTATATACCACTGTGCCTGGCTAAAAGACAGTTTTGAGATGACTAAAGAAACATAAAGGAGGGTAGGGCTGTTGCCTAGCATGCATGGGACACTGGGTTCGGTCCTCAGCACCACATTAAAAAAATAAAGCCGTTTTGTCCACCTACAACTATACAAACTTTTTTTTTTTTAAAGAAACATAAAGACAGACATTATATACTATGATATTGTGGTTGTGTAGGGGAATTTTCTTACTCTGAAGAGATTTATGATGGGCTAACAGCAAAGGTAAGGAATCACATTTCAAAATCAGTCTAAATGACAATGACTGCAACTCTTTCACACAAGCCATATAGGGAGTACAGGAGCAACAACACCAGATTAGAAGTTCATCCCACAAAAATTGGCAAATGGAGACAGTAATTTTTGCATTCCCAGAGATACAAGAGCATCCCTGTCCAGATTTCACTACACTTGGGAGGTAGGGAATCTGTTTCTGTCCATCCCACTTTTCCAGGTTTTTGAGCTGACAGGGCTGCCCAGGTAGCATATCTCTATCCCAGTTCCTATTGCTGTCAGAGGGACTTCCAGAAGCCTGGGAGAGATCATGGGTAACAGAATGGCTTGCCAGGAGGAAGTAGTTCAAGTAGGTGAAATGAATAATGTTGCCTGTGCTTACAAGATCAGTGCTATACTGAGTCTGACTGTGGAAGATAGCAGAAAGGATCCCAAACAATTGGTTGTTCTGCCCCAAAGCATTAACTCACTCCATTAGGGTATAATTGGTTTATCTATTGCTCTAGTGTGAGATTACACATCATGATCATGATGTGAGAAATAACACTAGGGAAATTTCTAAAACTAACATGGAAAGCTTTTCCTACCACTTGGTTGAAAACTTTTACTTCTTTAAAATAGGTCGTTTTATGCCACCAGAAAAAGTACACAAAGAACTTTTTAAAGAGTGGAATACTCCATTTCGTCAGCCATTGTATCCAGCTGTGAAGCGGTATAATCGGAAGCGGACATTTTTTCAAAAACTGCAAATGGAAGAGCGATTTAAAAAGAAAGAAAAATTGCTCAGGAAAAAACTAGCAGCAAAAGGAATTAATTATGATTTTCCTTCATTGGTAAGCATTCCTTCATGAAATTATTTCAGTGGTTTCTCTTAGGGATAGACTTTGTACCTCACTAGTTATAAAATGTGTCTGTGACTATAAAAAGTAATCCAGTACTTATCACACATTGGGTTTTTAGGTTTTGAGTTTTTTGTTGTTTTTTTCCTCCCTTTTTCTCCTTCTGTGCTGATGATTGAACCCAGCCCAAACCTCTCACATACTAAGCATGTGCTCCAATACTGAGCTGCACTCCGTACTCCTAACCCCACATAGTAGGCTTTGACTAATTTACATACATGTTTGTGTTAATGGGGATTGAACCCAGGGGTGCTCTATCACTTAGCCACATACCCTTTTTATCAGTCTCACTAAGTCTCACCAAGGTACCCAGGCTGGCCTTGAACTTGGCAGTCCTCTTGCCTTACCTCTTAAGTCACTGGGATGGCAGACTTGTGCCACCTGTCACAGTTTGTCTTTTAAAYAGCCTGTGGATTCTTCGTAAACAATTGGTAACAGATCTTATTTCTTCCATTATATGGAAGAGAGAGTCCTTTTTTAAGGAATTACTTGATTTGCTTTACCCTCCCCCCACACCCACTGAGGATTGAGCCCAGTGGTACTTTACCACTGAGCTATATCTCCAGCCCGTTTTGTTTTGGTCTGGGGATTTTGGAGACAGGGTTTGATTAAATTGTTCAGGGTGTCCTTGAATTGTGTTTCCTTCTACCTCAGCCTTCTGGGTAAAGGTAGGCGTGTACTGCCACCCCTGACTTGCATGACTTTCCTTAGTTTTTAATTTATTGAAGTTGAACCACTATTTAACCAAAAGCCATCATGCTCTTAGATTACCACTTAAATGTGACTTTACCAGAAACGTTTACTGTATGCTCTCAGTAAATATCAAGACTGTAAATTGTTCATCCCTATTACGCCATTCTAGTTAAAATTTTCTCGTGTTCTTTAGTAAGCACCAATTCTGAGATTTAAACGTACAGAAATGTGCTGAAATACACAAGCCAACATACAAGAAGATGAGTTGGCACAGATGTTCATCTAGTTCTGACTTTGTTGTAAAGGAATACTGAGGCGGCCTTGCTGAATCTTACTTTCTCCAGTCACAGTAACTAATTAGTTGTTAAGAAATGACATCTTGGACTGGGCTTGTGGCTCAGTGGTGCCGTGCTTGCCTAGCATGCGTGAGGCACTGGGTTTGATCATCAGCAACTAAAAAAAAAGTTAAAAAAAAAAAAAAAAGAAATGACATCTTTTCCCAAGTTCTTTAGGTCTTTTAACTTTATCCATAAACTAGAAGACCAATTTATCTTCCATTGGCCCACTTCCTGGTTGTTTATTTGTTGTTTTTGTTTGTTTGTTTGTTTTTTAAGAGAGAGAATTTTTTTAATATTTTTTAGTTTTCGGCGGACACAACATCTTTGTTTGTGGTGCTAAGGATCTAACCCGGGCCACACGCATGCCAGGCGAGCGCGCTACCACTTGAGCCACATCCCCAGCCCACTTCTTGGTTGTTAATTGTTTGCCAAACACAATCCCAATCACAGTCGTAAATATTCACGTCATGGCCTTTGGCCAACTGAACTGTGTGGGAGTTGGACTGTAAAACTTGAAAATGGGAAAATAAGTATTTTTTTCTGTACCCTCTTTGTACTTAGAAAAGCAGTGTGGCTTCATTGCCACAATCCTGAGCTTACCCCTGTGGGCCTATAGGGGTAGCATTTGTAACTTCTTTGTTTGAAATTTTAGCAAAACAAGGGGGAACGCGTTTCAAATAATAAAATCTTTAGAAATCTACAATTAACCAGGTAAAATTATATTTATATTATGTGCCAGATAGTAGAGAAAGAAATAGGAAGGCATAATCAAAAAATAGCTGAAAAAAATATGCAAATTGTTAAAGTCTTAATTTATTTTAAGGTTTTATCATCCAGTAAGACCAAAGATCCTTCGGATAAACCTACAAAGAAGAAAAAGTCTTCAGGCATACCAAAGAAGAAGAAGAAGCGGGTTTCTAAAGGCACTGCTGCCACTCCTGACAAGTCTATAGATAGCCAGGTAACCTGTCTTCATATTCTGGGCACAGGTATTCCAAAATAATTTCAACGAAGAAATGTGGTTTCTGCTATTATAATTTTGGTGACATTTCTGGTAGGTTTTTTTTTGTTTGTTTGTTTTTTGTTTTTGTTTTTTTTTGTTTTTTTTGTTTTTTGTTTTTTGTTTTTTTTGTAGTTGTAGATGGACAGAATGCCTTTATTTTATTTGATTATTTTTATGTGGTGCTGAGGGTCAAACCCAGTGCCTCACGTATGCTAGGCAAGTGCTCTGCCACTGAGCTACAGCCCCAGCCCATCTGGTAGTTCTTAACTGATGATAGCAGTTTGTTATCTAACATAATTGAGTATATTCCACTTAATGAGTTTCCATACTTTAGTTGATAAAACACCTACGCCCTTTATTTTCTGCAATTATATTACTGAAAGATAGATGCAAGCCAAATATAACATTGCACAAATTCTAAAACGAGAAGGGGGCTGATATTTTTGGCTAAAGTCATTTCCGCTATCATTCCACATTTATGTATTATAATCTGCTTGATTCCAGGGCCCCACACCAGTTTGTACACCAACATTTTTAGAGAAACGAAAATCTGAAGTGGTGGGAATGGATGATGATGATGATGATGAAATAGTTTTCAAGCTGCCCGTATATGATGCAGAAGGAGCAGTAGAGACTCCAACACCTAAACAGTCAGGGAAGAAAAGACGAAGACAAAAACCAAGCAGTGATTCTGAACGTATTATATGAGTATATATCTTCTGACAAAATGTGATGGTTTTCTTATAGTGGCTGACTATATTTTACAAGGTACAATGAAATGTAACCATCAATAGACTCAAAAGAGAAAACATGCTATTTGGAAAGCARTCAGTACTTTGGCTTTTTTTGCCCCTATTGAAGTATGGGGGTACATCAGAGCTTGCAGTGGTTAGGCTCACACTGCCTTTGCCCTGGTCTCAGTTTTCCTATCCCCTCTTTATTTTGCCTATGTTAAAGGGTCACTGTTAACTGTAAATTTAACAACTAATCTGAAGCTATTTTTATCGACACCAAATAAAGACAGTCAATCCTGCTTATCATCTGTGTGGTTCTTGTGCACATTTAAGCCATCAGTGTATTTTAGATTTCAGCATCAGGTGGCTGAAATGAAGATTATATGGAGAGTGAAAATGTAGTTCAGATGTTCATACAGATTCACAAGTACTCATTTTTTACCAGTAATGTTAGTTTTGGGTGGGCCAGCATGAATTGATAACTACAATTTTGAATCAGTATCAAACATGAAATTGTGTCCAGGATACAAACCATGAACAGCAAATTAAATTTTTCTACACATTATTTGTAAACAAGACTTAAGGAGCTTGGAGGGGGCAAATTTCTGTGTTCTTGCTTCCCTCTTAAGTTTGTACCCTTGAAATGTGCTGTTGTGTTAATTAATCCAAATTCATTAAAATCTATCCTTCCCTACCATTTTATCACCCAATATTTGTTAAATTTGTAACATAAATGCTCTGATGTAAAACAGTTGGTTTCAAGTGTATACAAAGAACAGACAGTGACAGGCACATAGAAAATGTTCATATGGTCCAGTGAATGGGTAGCAACTTTCTGAAGCATTCTGAACTTTGTGGATCTGAAATTTCCTTGATTACCATTCTGTGAAAAGAAATWAGCTTCTCTGTTCAGAAACATGTCATGTTTTATCACCCCAAGGATTATGTGCATTCAAACACACAAAAGACGAGATAAAATGAATATTTATTCCTTACCAACCTGTCACCCATACCACCCCACAGGTAGGGTGCCATTCATTAGCCCTTCATGGGAAAGAATTTCCTGCCTGTGGAGCAGTGAGGTGGATATTTTTAATTAGCAGAGCTAAAATTATACAATTACACAGAATAGTAGATGAAGTTCTTCAGAAAATTATCAAAAGTGGCATGGATTACATTTCATAAGAGTAGTGGAACCTGAAGTGGAAATCCCTCAGCCAATATAATAAGAAAAGTCTATAGTAAGTCAAGTACAAATAAGGTGATGAGAATAAAACTAAAATTGTACAATCATGACCACAGCAATTCAAAAGCATTTTTTATAAAGATGTACACAAAATAATGCTCTGGAATTACAGGTTGTTTTCCCCTTTTTGTAATTCTAAAAAACCATGAGTACTATACTTGGCATTTGTGTGTGTGTGTGTTTGTGTAATCATAACAAAGTTGAAAAGGAATCCACRGGTAAAGTTCAGTTAGAGCCAGATATGTCATGAGATGGAGTATAAATTATTAAATAAAACAAATTTGGATTGCAGGTAATATGGCAAATGAATAAACTTAGAGGTTAAAGATTGGGTTTTCTTCCATGGTATTTGGAATGTGTGTAGCAGTGTCCAAGGCAACTGATGATTATGACTGGAAATTGTAGATCTGGCCAGTTTGAGACTTGAAAAATAAGGATTGTCTCTGCTAATATGGATTCTAAATTACCACTTGCAAACAGCAAAGGGTGTTTCTCATTGAAAGGCAGAATCTGGGCTATACTTTAATAAATACAACAAATAGAAGAGACAAAAAAGCTAACAATCAGACTCCAAATAGGAACAACTAGGGGTGTGTCTTCAAGGTCTCTCATGGACATCAACTTCTACAGCAAAAATAACACAATGGCTGTAAATACCCACCTACAAGGGGATCTCATCACTCTAAGACACATTGGCAAGAAAAGGTCACAGACTGAAAAGGCCCACACATAAGAGAGAAAGAGAAATCCATCACAAAAACAAATGTATAAAAATAGGAATACAAGAAATGTGAAGAAATAAGGTGATACAATGCTCCTTAAGTTTATAGTTCACCAGCAACTGACTCTAAAGACACGGAAGTGGATAAAATATCAGAAAAGAAATTCAAAAGAATGATTATAAAAATGATCAATTAATTCCAAGAGGACACTGAAAAACAACTGAATGACTCAAGGACATGGTGAAGATATGAATGAAAAATTCAATAAGAAGGGGCTGGGGTTGTGGCTCAGCGGTGTGGCTCAGCAGTAGAGCACTCGCCCAGCACCTGCGAGGCCCTGGGTTCAATCCTCAGCACCACATAAAATAAATAAAATAAAGGTATAGTGTTCAACTACAGCTATAAAATAACATTAAAATTCAATAAGGAGGGCTGGGGATGTGGCTCAAGCGGTAGCGCGCTCGTCTGGCATGCGTGTGGCCCGGGTTCGATCCTCAGCACTACACGCCAACAAAGATGTGTCTGCCGAGAACTAAAAAAATATTTAAAAAATTCTCTCTCTCTCTCTCCTCTCTCACTCTCTTTAAAAAAAAAAAAAAAATCAATAAGGAGCTACAGATATTGAAAAGACTCAAATAGAAATCTTGGAATTGAAAGACACAAGTCAAAATATTTAGTTGAAAATCTTTTTAATAGAGTAAAAACTGGAAAGATGGATTAAAAAACAAGACCCAACAATGTGTGTTTGCAAGAGACTCACAGGCAAAGACAGATACAGGCTGAAAGTAAAAGGATGGAAATTGGTATGAGAATGGAGCCTGAAAACAAGCAGGAGTTGCTATTCTCACATCTACCAAAACAGATTTCAAGCCAAAATTAATCAGAAGAGACAAAAATGGTCACTTCATATTGGTAAAGGGAACAATCCAACAAGAAAATAAAACAATAGTAAGTATTTGTGCACCTAACATTGGTATAACTAATTACATAAGAGACACTACTCAAAGCCTCAAACAGATCTCAATACAATAATATTGGGTGATTTTAACACAACTCTCATCAATAGGCAGGTCATCTAGACATAAACTCAATAATTAAGACTTGTTGGACCTGAAAAATGGACTTAACAGAATATTCTATAGAATATTTCATCCAACAAAAATTGAATACACTTTCTTTCCAGTGGTTCATGGAACCTTCTGCCAAATAGATTATGTTAGTCCACAAAGCAAATCTTGGCAAATATAAGACAGATAAATAAATAAATCCTTGCCTCTTATCAGATAATAATGGGATGAAATTATAAATCAACACTGAAAAACCCTACAAAAGCTATATAAACCTATGAAGATTGAACAATACACTTTCAATTGATGAATGGGTTAACAAATCATGGGAGAAATTGAAAAAAATCTGAGAATCAAACGAGAATAATAATATAACATACCAGAACCTCTTAGACTGAAGACAGTTTTAAGAAAAAAGTTTACAACCATCTATACCTATGTAAGAAAATCGGAAAGATCCCAAATAAAAACTTAATGGTGCATCTAAAGACCCTTGAAAAAGAAAAACAAACCAATTCCCAAACCAGTAGAAGAAAGGAAATAAATAAGATCAGAGCCAAAATCAATAAAATTGAGAATTAAAAAACAATGCAAAGGATCAATGAGAAAAAGAGTTGGTTCTTGGAAAACATAAACAAGACTAATAAACCTTTAGTCAGCCTAAGCAACAGAAAAAGAAGACCCAAATTAATAAAATTAGAGATGAAAAACGAGAAACCACCAGACATTACAAAATCCAGAGGATAATTAGGAAATATTTTGAAAACTTACACTCCAACAAATTGGAAAACCAGAAGAAATGAATACATTTCTAGACACATGCAATCTGCCAAAATTGAGTCGAGAGTACAGAAAAAAACAAAACATACCAATAATTAGCAATGAGATAAAACAAGTAATAAAAATACTTCCAGGGCTGGGGATATATATAGCTCAGTTGGTAGAGTGCTTGCCTTGCATGCATAAGGCCCTGGGTTCAATCCCTGGCACCACAAACACACACACACACACACACACACACACACAGACACCACACACACACACAAAAAAAAACTTCCAACAGAAGAAGCCCAGGGCCAGGCACAATGGTGCACACCTGTAATCCCAGTGGCTCAGGAGGCTGAGGCATGAGGATCATGAGTTCAAAGCCCGAAAAGCACTAAGCAACTAAGTGAGACCCTGTCTCTAAATAAAATACAAAACAGGGCTGGGGATGTTACTCAATGGTTGAGTGCCCTTGAGCTTAATCCCCAGTAACCACCACCACCACCCCCAAAAAAGAGAGAGAGAGAGAGGAAAAAAATCCCAGGACCAGAAGAATTCTCAACCATTCTACCAGATCTTTAAAGAAGAACTAGTGTCAATGCTCCTCAAATTATTCCATGAAATAAAAAGAAACTGAACACTTCCAAATTTATTCTATGAAGCCAGTATTATACTCATACCAAAACCAGATAAGAACACAAAGAAAGAAAACTACAAACTAATATCCCTGATGAACTAATGCAAAATAAAAATATTAGCAAATTGTATGCAACACCATATTAAGAAGATGGTACATCATGACCAAGTTGTATTTATCCCAGAATGCAAGAATGGCTTAACAAATGCAAATCAATAAATGTAATTCATCACATAAATAGAATGAAAACAAAAATCACTTAGTTCTCTTAATATATGCAGAGAAAGCATTCAACAAAATTCAATACTCATTCATGATTTTTAAAAAAAAGTGCTGAAGAAACTAGTGATAGAAGGAACCTATCTCAACATCATAACACAATATACAAAAATCCTAGAGACAACACAGTGAGTGAGGAAAAACCTGAAAGCATTTCCTTTAAAATCTGGAACAAGACAAGGTTGTTCACTCTCACCACACCTATTTAATATTGTACTAGAAATTCAAACCACAGCAATTAGACAAGAGAAGGAAATAAAAGGGGTAAAAAATAGGAAAGGAAAACATGAAATTATTACTGTTTGCCAATGATATGATCCTATAACTTAGAAGATCCCAAAAGCTCCACCAGAAGATTACTAGAGATAATAAACAAAGCAGCAAAGTAGCAGGTTACAAAATCCACAAACAAAAATCATTAGCTTTCCTATGTATCAGTAATGAATCTACTGAGAAAGAAATCAGGAAAACAATTCCATTCACAATAGCCTCAAAAATAAAATACCTAGGAATAAATTTAACCCAGGTGGTGAAAGACCTCTACAATGAGAGTTATGGTACATTGAAGAAGACTTTAGAAGATGAAAGACCTCCCCATGTTCATGGACAGGCAAAATTAATATTGTTCACATGGCCATACTACCAAAAGCAATATACAGATTCAATGCAATCCCCATCAAAATATCAATGACATTCTTCATAGAACTAGAAAAAAAAATCCTCAAACTCATTTGGAAGAATAAAAGACCCAGAATAGTCAAAGCAATTCTAAGCCAAAAAAAACAATGCTGGAGACATCACAATTACCTGATTTCAAATTATACTACAAAGCGATGGTAACAAAAACTGCATGACATTGGTATGAAAACAGACACATAGACCAAGGGCACAAAACAGAAGATAGAGAGAAAAATCCACACACCTAACATCATCTCATTCTTGACAAAGCTGTCAAAAACATACTTTGGAGAGAAGATAGCCTTTCTAACAAGTGGTGCTGGGAAAACTGGTTATTCATGTGTAGAAGAAGGAAACTAGACCCTTATTTCTCACCCTGCACAAAACTCAATTCAAAATGGATCCACCACATGACTCTGCTAGACCACTCCTTGGTATTTATCCTAAGGAATTAAAGTCATCATAAAACTATAGTGATACATGCATATCCATGTTTATAGCAGCACAATTCACAACGGCCAAACTATGGAACTAGTCTAGGCATCCATCAATGGATGAATGGATAAAGAAAATGTGATATGTATACATAATTAAGTTTTATTCAGTCATAAATAAAAATGAAATTGTGCCATTTGTAGGAAAATGGATGGAACTTGAGACCATTAAGTGAAATAAGCCAAACTCAGAAGGTCAAATGTTGTATGTTTTCTCTCGTGTGGAAGTTAAGGAGGAAAAAGAAAAAGAGACATGGGGAGAGGGGATCCCGTGGAAATTAAAGAGAGATCAGTTGAATAGAGGAAGGGGATTATGGAGAGGGAAAGAGGAAATACTAGGGAATGACACTGGCCAAATATAATTTGGCCAATTTGTCATGTGCATGTACGAATATGTAACAACAAATCCCACCATTGTATACAATTATAATGCACCAATAAAAAATATGAAAAGAGGAAAAAAGAATTTGGTTGTGACATAGATCGTATGGGGTTCTCTGCTTATCGCTGCTATTGAGGAGTACATTACGCATGGCAGAGTACAGTTTAAACTCAGTCACTTCAAGTGCCACATGTGTCACACTGCAATGAATTTGAGGTGTTTTTGTTTTTTTGTTTTGCAGAAGTGGGGATTGAACCAGTAAAGTATGCTTTCCCACTGAGCTATATCCCCAGTGCTTTTTTTTTGAAATATTTTTTTCTTTAGTTGTAGTTGCACACAATACCTTTATTTATATGTGGTGCTGAGGATGGAAGCCAGGGCCTCACAAGTGCTAGGCGAGCCCTCTGCCACTGAGCCACAGCCACAGCTCCACAGTGCTTTTATTTCTGTTTATTTACTCTTTTTAAAGGTAGGCTATTAATAAGATTTTATTTTGAACTTGACAGGTCTTGCTCTTCAGAGAGGTGTTCTTTAGTGCTGGGAAGCAAACTCAGGGTCTTGCACATGCTAGACAAGGGCTCCTCTATGAGCTACACA